CAGATCACGCAGCTGATCCTGTACCGCACTGCCGTCGCCAGCAGAGCGGGCCTCACCCCAGGTGACCACAGATCCATTGATAAGGATTGCAGCAAATGCACGAGCTGAAGCTTGCATCTGCTGCACGTTCGTCAGTTGATCCTGTACCGCACTGCAGTCGCCACCAAAGCGGGCATTGCCCCAGCTGACGACAGATCCATCATCCCGGATTGCAGCAAATGCATGAAAACAAGCTTGGATATGCTGCACATTATTCAGTTGATGCTGTACCGCACTGCTGTCGCCACCATAGTCGGCGTCGCCCCAGGTGACTACAGATCCGTCACCAAGGACTGAAGCAAATGCACCAACAGAAGCTTGGATCTGCTGCACGTCTCGCAGCTGATCCTGTACCGCACTGCTGTCGCCACCGTCGTCGGAATCACCCCAAGTGACGACAGATCCATCACTCCGGATTGCAGCAAATGCACCAACAGAAGCTTGGATCTGCTGCACGTCTCGCAGCTGATCCTGTACCACACTGCTGTCGCCACCACGGCGGGCATTGCCCCAGCTGACGACAGATCCATCATCCCGGATTGCAGCAAATGCATGAAAACAAGCTTGGATATGCTGCACATTATTCAGTTGATGCTGTACCGCACTGCTGTCGCCACCATAGTCGGCGTCGCCCCAGGTGACTACAGATCCGTCACCAAGGACTGAAGCAAATGCACCAACAGAAGCTTGGATCTGCTGCACGTCTCGCAGCTGATCCTGTACTGCACTGCTGTCGCCACCATCGCCGGAATCACCCCAAGTGACGACAGATCCATCACTCCGGATGGCAGCAAATGCACCAACAGAAGCTTGGATCTGCTGCACGTCTCGCAGCTGATCCTGTACCACACTGCTGTCGCCACCATAGTCGGCGTCGCCCCAGGTGACTACAGATCCGTCACCAAGGACTGAAGCAAATGCATTGGCAGAAGCTTGGATCAGCTGCACATCTCGCAACTGATCCTGTACCGCACCGCTGTCGCCACCATGGTTGGCACTACCCCAGGTGACCACAGATCCATCACCCAGGATTGAAGCAAATGCACCATCAGAAGCTTGGATCTGCTGCACATTCTTCAGCTGATCCTGCACCGCGCTGCTGTGGCCACCACAGTCGGCCCCACCCCAGGTTGCCACAGATCCATCACCCAAGAGAGCGGTGAACGCAGAGAACGAAGTGCATCGCCGGGTGGCATTGAGCTGCACTTGGTTCACGTGTAGGGTGAGCACGTCTCCACTCCTCAACTTCGCTTCTGTGACGGTTTGTGCTCCGTCCAGCACCTCTCCAGAAGAATTCAGCAGCCGCCCACTACTCGGGACCACCAGAATACTGTAGGCGCGGCGCTTCAATGATTCAACAGATGCCTCCGCCTCCACTTCCACAGAGGCATGATTGCCACTAAGCAAATGCACATCAACGCAAATCGACATGGTGGCCGCTTGACGCCAAATCTTTCTGATAAGTACAGTGCCACGGTGAGATCATGAAACCTTTTCGATGCAGCCTCAGTCCTCATCGAAACATCCTGAGGCGGCAGAATCCCGAGTTTCCCGGAAAGGCTAGCTTACCCAGAATGCATGTGGCCATTCATCAGTCCTTGTTTGGGGTGTTTTTGTACTTCTCTGCCCAAGACGACTTTCTGGGTTTCGGTTCCGCCACTGGGCATTCCTGCGACTAGGCAGCCGCTTCTTTGTGCCGGCACTTCGCCAAAGATGTGGTGCACGGAAGGTCGAGGATTCGGAAATGCACGCAGCTAAAAAGCTCTTGGCGCGACGAGCCGTCGGTTTCCCATGGCTAACCTCGCCCCCAACCGCGGGACGCACGTTTCTCCGCATGTTGCACAGGACGTGAATAACGGGCGGTGCGCAATCGACGAGACTGTTCTCCCTCGTGGAATGGCTACGTACAATTACTAGAAAAACCACAATGAGAAAAATCATGATTGTCACAATGAAAAACGAAAACACCGACGACTGACAGAGCCAGCAGGAATGACACCAGTGGCCCCAAGTGTTTTTCAGGTGTCTCAAGGCCTGCTGCGGGTCCTGCTCCTCCGCGGTCGTGTGGATGCCCACCACCTGGAGATTCAGTTTTCTCGCGCTCACGCTCAGGTCAAGCTCAAGATCAGATACTCACGCCATGACGGCACGTGCTTGCTTACCTCGAACTTTCTGCGCAAGAGAAAGAGCCTTCAACCAGTGCCCCTGTGAATAAGGACAGCACCTCGCGCAGGGTCCGTCTCAGCTGCTCGATGCCTGTGCTCTCTTTGGTGCCTTCCTGTAGCAATGGAGGCGTTGCTTCGGGTTGTGCACCGCACGCTTGCCTCAAGTGCTGCACATAGGAATGTCAAAGGAAGCTTGCGACAAGGATCCACCGGAAGGACGGTAACTCTCTTGGAACTGCTTGCGGCAAGGGCCATGTTGACACAGAACTCTGCTGCATTGGCACTGTGCACTAGCACCGAGGTAGACGTGGGCTGCAGTGCGTTGTCTCCCTCACGTGAAGATCTAGTGACAAGCCTTTGGAACACGAAATGCAGCCATCATGTACAACGCTAGATCACTACTGGGTTCCAAGAACATTTCAGCAAGTGTCCGTTCTATCTGGGGCGCAGACAACTCGACAAGTATGACCAGAACATGGGTATTTCTGACATTTCTCAAGTCTTGCAACTGTCTCAGCTGTGGTACTGCAAGCTGCTGCCAGCGAAGCCCACCTACTCACCTGCACGACCCGTCCGAAGCTCCCATTCATTCTCACGCTAGAATCATCTGCCGATGTCTGTATATCACCTAGTAGAACTTCATAAGATGAACCAAGATCCTACAGCCCACGGGCCTGGTCCTTTTTCTCAACATGCCGAGGCCTGCACGGCTGCAGGACCAACAGAGCATGGAGGATGCTCCGAACGTAAATTTTAGCACATTCGGTTACTGCTCCGTGGGCCCTTCTGTCGTTAAGCATCCTACAATTTCGTCTATATTGGGATCTTCTGGTTTTCTCGAACTCCCAGCTGGCGGTGACAGTGGCACGCCCGTCCAAGACACGCGCTCAAAAAAATTCGCAGTCAAGCCCACCTGTGTGAGTCTTGCTTGGCGGAGTAGTCGTACCTGGCAAAACACAACCACCCGAAATACATCCGAACCCGGGAAAGTCACTGTATCGAAACGGCGCCCCTACCAAAGAGCGAGCATGTCTGAATCGCACAACACTCGCTCTGAAACTCCACGCCCAGGGCACAGTGGGTCGACGCCAGGACCCAACTGGCGGCGCAAGGCGTCTAGAGACCCCTGCGTTGAGATGCCTGACAGCCATGGGTCCAGGGCTCAAAGTGCTGATGCTTTCGGCACGTCCGCACACTGTAGTACCGGTTCCGAAACAAACAAAAAAAGAAACAAACAAAATACACAAAATGACAAACACACCAGCAAGCAAACAAACACACACACACACACATACACGGCGCGTACGGAGACAGATCGATGCAAAGACGCGTATACACGTGCTGACTGCTTTCGTTGGCCTGGCCTAGCCGCTGATGCACCTTACCGGTAATATGTACTTATACGTACACATAAACTTTAGACATAAAATATTGAATACAGACACATACACAGACAAAGCGGTGTAAATTTGTGCATCTCAAACTTTATATACGTTTATGTGTCTAGTTGCAGACTTAGACGATATTATATGTATACTTGTCTGTTTCGCACTGTCACATGTGTGTCTGGGCAGGCACGCAAGCATGCGTTTATGCACGAGGTAGGTAGATAGGTCGGTGGATCGGTAGTAGGTAGGTAGGTAGGTAGGTAGGTAGGTAGGTAGGTAGGTAGGTAGGTCGGTAGGTAGGTCGGGTTCGGTCGGTCGGTCGGTCGGTCGGTCGGTCGGTCGGTCGGTGGGTAGGTAGGTAGG